CAGCCCCTCCACTTCCAGGCCTGGTGACGCTGAGTAATTTACCTTGTCTTCCTGATTCTCAGTTTCCTCATATTCAAAATGGTATGAATACCACTCCCTTGTATGTTGTGAAGATTAAATGAGAGAACAAAACATAAAGGGTCTAGCACTGTCTCAACGTGGGGAAAAAGGGGAATCGGGAATCATTATCACTTTCAACATTTAGGCAAAAGTTGCTTAAGGTAAGGAGAGAGCAACTGTATTTTTTTTCCTGACTTTTTTGAGCTGTTAAGAATCAATGTTAAATCAAAATTGACTCAAATTATTTGCATCCCAAGGGATTTTTCTTTTAATTTTCCTTTGTTAAAGTAAAGTAGAAATTATTTTATTCTTTATGTTGTTTATCTGTTCTAATACACAAGCACAAACGATGACAAGCTAATGGAATTGATGTAAATAATGCTGACTTTTCAAAAGAATCTTCCTCCATATTACAAAGGAAAGGGTCACTGGAGAAAGAGGAACAAAACTACAATGAATTAATCAAAAAGGAATAGAGACTTTATTCAGAAAGCCAGCAGATTGAAAAGATGGCAGACTGATGTCCTGGAGAACCATCTTCCCCAAGTCACAATTCACGCTCTTTGTACTGAAAAGGGGAGGGGGTGTGGTCACTTGTTGCAAATTTCTTGGTGGAGGAATTCTTTGTTCTTGGAATCCTTCTTTTTTGTAGCTGTCCATGTGGGTCAGGTCATGGTTCCTCTGTAAAACCAACAAAAGTTATTTTCTCTTCTTCAACTTGTTATCTTTATGAATGTAAAAGTGCTAATTATGCTTAAAGGTCAGAGCCTTGAAAACAGGCTCTCCTGTGTAGTTCAGGCTGTTGGCAACATTGTTTTACCAAAGATGCAGAGCAGCAAGTCTAAGCCTAGGAAACAGGGCACAGGGTTAAAGTCAAAGGAACAGATCTAATACAGAATCAGATTTGTTCTTTTCTATCACAGGACAGAAGCCACTTAAGGATTTAAATTCCTTTAGGTTAAAAATAAGTAAATGTTAAAGGAATTTACATGTGTAGGTTGAAATGTGCACAGCCTATTTGGAAAAACACACAAAGGATTGTAAACAGTGACAACAGAGAATGAGGGAAACCTTTCCTTTGTGTATTTTTGTGTTCTGAATTTTTTTTTTTACCATATGCACATATTTCTTTCTCAGTAAAAAAAAGAAAAAAGTGTAAGGGAGAAAAGGAGGGACCAGCTCAGCATGTCCAGCAGCCATGGAACACTGAGCCGTCACTTCTGCTTTAGGCCAGGAGGCATTATTGACTCTCTGCTGTGCCCAGGGCTGTTCTATGACTTCTTTTATTATTTATATATTTTATAAAATAATAATATGCTATTCCTCATCCCTGCCCACAGCTGGGGGGGGGGAACCAATTGAGTTTCATTGGAATTGTTTTCCAAGGAGTAGAAGTAAGTTACAAACAACCCATCTTAAGGGTGCAACAGGCGGAGTGGGTTTCCAGCGGCCAGCTAGGGAGGGTTAGCAACAGAGGTGCCCAGAGCTGAGAGAGGGAGCCTTGAGGCCCCACACAAAGCTGCCCAGAGTGGCTTCTCCGTGCGCTGCTGTGGATCCTAGAGGGGAAGGTCTAAGGATCCAGATTCAAGTTCAGTAGCAGCTGGAAAGAAAAAGAATTAAGATTCTTTATCTAAAATACTTCATAGGTAACTAAATATGTTAGTTCTTTAGAAAGCTGAGAACTTTCTGTTAAGAAGAATGAAAAGTATGTATATATGACTACAATACCAAATGCAAGATGACGATACTAGAATCTGCCCAGGGCTGCACGTTGAATTACCTGCTCATGCAGCTGAGGATCAGAGCTTCTGGTTTTCTCATTCTTTATTCATTGGCTCAATAACCACGTGGTGAGACACTGTGAGAAGCACTGGAACTGCAAGATGAAGATGACACAGTCCACCCTGAAGAATCACATACCATAAACTGGAAAAACAGGCAACTTCCATACAGAGTCAAAAACCGCGGTAGGTATAAAAGGGGGCACAACTGGAACACTTAGAAGGGACATCCAGCTTTGTGCCAATACTGCCCCCTTTTGGGGGCAGTGATATGTAAGCAGATACCTGAAGGAGGACAAAGTGTGGGAGAGGGAAGAAGCAAACACAAAAACTAGAGCCAGGGAAGGGCACGTGTGGAACTGGAAGTAGTCTAGCTGGGCCAGACGCTGGGGCAAAGCAGCAGAGCAGGGGAGTAAAGAGATACATCTGAATACTTTGGCAAGAAATAGATTGATGTGTTTTTTATTCCAAGCTAAGGAATTTGGAATTTTCCCTGAGGGCAAAAGATTAACCAATGACAGGAAATTTGTCACACACCAGTGGCAGCTACATGGACTGTGATTGCTTGTATCTGAGTTTTTGGCCTCAGTCACCACCAGAAACTCGAAAAGCTGATGATCTCCAGGTTTTCTGAGAACAGTGTCGGTGTGCAGGGTGACAGCCCCACAGGGACAGCAGGAGGAGAGGGAGGATACAGCCAGAAATAAACAGGGAACACAGGCTTCTTGAGATGATTTTTTTTTAAAGCTATGGGTCATTACGAATAAATGAGGAGCAAGTATATTTTTCATTATGAATGGTTTTGTTTTCACATTTTTCATTAGGTATGGGTAAGAAAAAATGTAACAGTGTCTGTTATTCAAACAATGGAAAGAGATGCTATTTACTATTTCCAGTTTATTTCAGAAATCAATGTCTAAATATAATTCATACATTTTGGCAACATACCTTCTAGTTCTCTAGTTATATTTTTTCCAACTCCTGGTGCATTGGAAATAAGTCAAATAATATTTATAATGTTTAAATTAAACAACAGACAGTATCATGGGAAAGAGAGCTAGCTAATAAAATTAACTTTTAAGTAATACTTTTAGAGACTAGATCCAACTTGGGGATTGCTTAAATAGAAAAAAAAATCACATGAATAAAATAAAATAAATTCCTGCTTATTTTGGTTTTAGATAAGAGAGAACATATATATGTATGCTATTTAGATTCGTCTGATGAAAAGTACAATAAATATTGGCCTATTGAATACATATAATTTCAGATTTTATTGCTTAAACAATTCAAGTCATATTTTACACTAAATGCATTACCTTGCAATTCTTAGAAAAATTGCCCTTTATAAAAGTTTAGTCAGTTTTTTTTTTGTTTGTTTGTTTAATGGATTTTTCCTTAAAATGAGCTTTCCATTCTTGTGTTTTATAAAACTAAAATGTTAAGGTCTGTTCTATGCTAATAATTTTTTTAGCACAGAATCTTAAATACATAAAATGAAGAAAGTGGTTCTGTTGTAATGTCTTGTGAAAATTCTACTGGGAAAAATTAAACAAATGCATTTTGCTCTCTGTTTATGAGTAAAACATTTATTTCAGAAAATCTCGAGAGGAGAGGGTATAGCTCAGTGGTACAGCATGTGCTTAGCATGCACAAGGCCCTGGGTTCAATCCTCAGTGCCTCCATTAAATAAAAAAGTGTAACAACACTAAAATGAAATAATTAAAGTTGAAATACAATTGACATGTTAGCAAGTGAAGCTTTACTCTACATAAAGGTCAGAATTCAATAAGCATTTTAAAACACTGGAAAAAACCTCAGCATCTAATAATTAATCTCTCAGAATCCCTAAGAAGTATGGGGACTCTGAACTTTGGAGCTAACGCTGATACTGTAAAAATCTTTCTTATGCTTGTGAATATCTCTTCCCAAACGTGGATAGTAACAATAACATGTCTTATTTATGTCATCTTTCTATTAAATTTGCAAACAAAAAGGAATTAGAAGTGATAAGACTGTGAGCATTTAAAATATTTTACTGTACTTCTTTTCAGAGTTGTTTGTATTGCAATATTTACCTCATCTGGATGTTTGTAAATCCTTCATTCCTCCTGTTTTATTAAGAACAGAATCACTCCAAATGTAGGCTGAATGGGTTTTGAAATAGATTAATAAATAATGTTCATTTGATATAATCTATAGTGATAATTCAAGGGGGGAGGGTACACCTCAGTGGTAGAGTGCCTGCTTAGCATGCATAAGGTCCTGGGTTCAATTCCCAGTACCCCCACTAAAAAATTCAAGATAAAAGTATAAAAGATTTTACCTTCAAGTGAGGATATTTTTCAGTAGAATCTAAAAGACAGAAAGGACACATAACCAATGACATGTAAACACAAAAGCCAACTGTACAGTCACGCAGAGTTAGGACTGAGCATAACCCTCACGCTTGCTTTGGAAATGAACACGTTAGGTTTTGGTATTTTTTGAGGAGAAATTAAGACAGCAGCAAGACAGAAATATGAATCCATTACAGATAACGAATAAAAGCAGGAATATAGGTTTAACAGAACATGCAGTTAAGATTTCAAAAGTATGATTATGTTCCAAATGAGTTTATAAAATAGAAAATTGCACATATACCAATGAGAACATGCTGACTGATGAGAAAAGTGAGCTTTAATCAGAGTAAGTCATGACTCCAAGATGACTAACGCAGCAGCACATCTCTAATGCAGTTGACACCATCAGACTGCAAGGATGTATTACGTTCTTTAATTCCCCTGTAACTTAGGAAACCCACAGTTGTGATGACACTTTATTTGAATGTGTAATTCACTTCTCATCAGAGAAAGTGCTATGAGTTGATCAGCTTGGAGACACACTTGGAGAATAATAGTTCATAAAAATATTCATTTTTTCCTACACCCATGTGGGCTACTGGTATGCCTATATTTCTTGAATCCTCTAGCTTAGCCAACTTAAGTTTTTTTTTAAGGTGTGCACTTTATTGAACTGGTCTCAAGTCAGCATACAGGTAAGACCTGGCTGCCTCCATGCATCAGCCCACTCTCATGGGGACCAAAAGCCTTCATACACCTCGTTTGGGGGCAAAAAAGGGGGACTGACTATTCAAAATAAAACAAACAAAAACAGGTATTAAGGTACAGTTTTTTTTTATTTGCAGAACATCACTTACACAAAAGCAATGCCATCACCCTCCCGTGTGGACTTCCGCAAGGACTTCCTTAGAGAAGCTGGGTAGTTTTGGGAAGGCAGGGGACTTCCTGTAACGATGCATCTCAGGATATTTGGGGTGACTATTTTAAAAAATGTGCAAAGTCCTTGGTCACAAGGTAGAACTTTGGAGATGCTTGATCCAACTGCCTGCTGTCACCTTCACTGTTTTTAAATCTTGAGTCAAGTACCAAAAAAAAATTTTTTTTAAGGAAATAAGAAAACAAAACAAAATAAAGCTATGCCACTCATCTCCTTTTCCACCAAAGTTAGGTTTTGTCACAACAACGATGGACGGTAACTCAGTCCGCCTAGAAGCACTTGCGGTGGACGATGGAGGGGCCGGACTCATTGTAGTCCTGCTTGCTGATCCACATCTGCTGGAAGGTGGGCAGCGAGGCCAGGATGGAGCCGCCCATCCACACGGAGTACTTGCGCTCGGGGGGTGTGATGATCTTGACCTTCACCGTGCTGGGGGCCAGGGTGGTGAGCTCCTTCTGCATCCTGCTGGTGATGCCAGGGTACATGGTGGTCCCACCGGACAGCACCGTGTTGGCGTACAGGTCCTTGCGGATGTCCACATCACACTTCATAGTGGACTTGAAAGTAGTCTCGTGGATGCCACAGGCTTCCAGGCCCAGGAAGGCGGGCTGGAAGAGAGCCTTGGGGCAGTGGAAGCGCTCGCTGCCGACAGTGATGACCTGACCATAGGGCAGCTCGTAGCTCTTCTCCAGGCAGGAGCTGGAGGCGGCGGTGGCCATCTCCTGCTTCAAGTCCAGGGCGACGTAGCAGAGCTTCTCCTTGATGTCACGCACGATCTCCCGCTCGGCCGTGGTGGTGAAGCTGTAGCCACGCTCCGTGAGGATCTTCATGAGGTAATCCGTCAGGTTCTGGCCAGCCAGGTCCAGACGCAGGATGGTGTGGGGGAGGGCATACCCTTCATAGGTGGGCACAGTGTGAGTGACCCCATCACCAGAGTCCACCACGATGCCAGTGGTGCAGCCAGAGGTGTACAGGGACAGCACGGCCTGGATGGCCACGTACACGGCTGGGGTGTTGAAGGCCTCAAACATGATCTGGGTCATCTTCTCACGGTTCACCTTGGGGTTCAGGGGGGCCTCAGTCAGTAGCATGGGGTGCTCCTCGGGGGCCACACGCAGCTCATTATAGAAGGTGTGGTGCCAGATCTTCTCCATGTCATCCCAGTTGGTGACGATGCCATGCTCAATGGGGTACTTGAGGGTCAGGATGCCTCTCTTGCTCTGGGCCTCATCACCCACATAGGAGTCTTTCTGGCCCATGCCCACCATGACGCCCTGGTACCGGGGGCATCCCAAGATGGAGGGGAAGATGGCCCGGGGGGCATCATTGCCTGCAAAGCCGGCTTTGCACATGCCGGAGCCACTGTCGACCACAAGCGCAGCAATGTCATTACCCACGGCGAACTGGTGGTGGTGCAGCCCGGTGGCGATGGTGGAGCAATGAGGGGCCCGTGCTGTTGGGGTGGACGTGGTCTCGCACGTCATCTCAAAGTTTCTTGATCCATTAGTGCAAGATGATATATAAGACACACCTAAGAAATAGTGTTTATTAAGTTTTCCACATTGAAATATGATTATCAAAAAAGGAAAAAATAAATTTGATTGCCACAGAATTATAAGATACTGAAAGTCTTTTATATTTCAAAATCACTGCACTTAGTTACTGAAAACAGCAATTTTACCATTTAGGGAATGAACTCTCTTAATTTCTTTTGTTTCCAAAATTAGTTTGGTTTGGTATCTCATGCTACTGTTTAAAAGGCTTTTTGGTGAAACAACCATCTTATCAAAAAATTAGCTATCCTAAAAAAAAAAGAAAAGAAACACACAGCCAGTGCTTCCATATTCAAACTAATCTCATTTGAGTAACAAATACCAGCGCAACATACATCCTTGATGCCTGATAGTTGTGAGCAGTGGCTGTGGTTTACCCCAGTTCCAGCCCCTTCCTGCTTCTGGAATTCTCTGCAGTGGCAACGACCTAGTCTTGCTTCAGCGCAAACACATAACGCCATCTAGAAGGAGTTCTCTCAAGTTTCCTCATCAATTCCCACATCACCTACCTGCCGCCTTTTCTCCCCCTTCCTTCCTTTCACTGCATCCTCCCCTCTTCAAAGGGATCCCTAGATCTGTGGTCGTAACTCTTCCCCTTCTGGATTCTTTGGATGGATGACCCCCACCACTTCTTTTTCCTCTCTGCTTGATCACAGTACCTTACATGGGTAATTTCTACTTCAACTCTTTGCCTCCCTCTGGCTATAAACGTGCTAAGAAAAATAAACCACACTTTTCCTGATGCTGTTACATCATGAGCTCTCCAGGGGCTCTTCTTCCAGATTTCTCTAAACACACGTCTACCCTCTTGCTGCTCTGAGCGTGGCCTCAAGACCAGCAACAAGGGAGTCGCCTTAGAACTTGTTAGAAATGCAGAATCTCAGGCCTGCTGATCAGAACGTGCACTTTTCACAGGGTCCCTAGGTGACTAATTACAATTTGAGAAACTCTGGCCTATACGGGGTCTACTCGACTTAATTGATCCTTCTGAAATCTCACCTCAAATGCCCACTGTAACGCTTCCCCAGCCTGAGACTGCATTAGAAAGTGCACACTTTCTAATGGACTCTTAATCAGGAAGCAGCTTCCCTGGCCCCCAGCCCCCATAACACACCCTGCTCTCTTTCTCTTCCTTATTCTCTTCTTTTGGCCTAGGTAACACCATCCTATAAGGAAGCAACACACCACGTGACATGAAGGTCCAGACATTTACAGCTGCTCGCACCTGGCTGTGTTCACCCACGGCAGGGAGAACCCAGCTCTGCGTGATCAGGCACCTCAGCCCCCACTGCCCTCCTAACAATGAGGAGGACAGGGACAGTGGGAACATTCGTGTTTCTTGGATAAGCTGTGGTGCTGGAAGCTCACTTCAGATCCATCTCACATCTCAGACACTTCCTCTTTCTGAAGAACTGCTCTGCCTTCCCATCCTCCCCTACAGGCCCCTCCCTCCTTTCTCTTCACTTACTACCTGTCCCCTCTGCCTCGCTCATTCTTCATCCCCTCTTTCCCTTCTCATTTCCTGACTGCCCTAGGTCACAGAGCATCTTGAAGTGAAACTAACAACTCAGCTCCTTGAGCGGCATCTCAGTCTGACCTGCTGCAGATGCCTGAGTTATACAACTGACCTCCTTTCTCACCTTTCCCCGCACTGTATCTGCACCAGCTGATTTTCTTTGGCTTTCAGAATATATCAGAATTCATGTCTGAAATCAACATTCTGTCAAATGACTTTTTAATAAAATACAGCTCTTACCTTCTATTTGTTCACTTAATGTATTTCTTCCTGTTTGACCTGCAGCTCCAGATGAATTATCCACACACTTCTGTGGTCGACTCTCAGAGATACTCTGTTAAAATCAATATTAACAATGAGTTGCATAAAGCTTTCCTAATCCCTCTGTAAGAAAATCCCTGCATTTCCTAGCTTAAAAAAAATTCCTATTTTAAAAGCAACTAGACTTAAAATAAGAGAAGAATATCTTGGGAAACCAAACATTTAAGTAGAAAATTTATATTCTCTAGATCAAGTCTATCTTCTATCTTCATTTGGCTTTTGATTCAGTAAATTGTACATGGAAAGCCAGAACAAGTATTTTCACATGCAAAATACTGACTTATATTCACATTTCAACAAAGAATTAACTTCAAAACACCTAACTCCACTTTGAATTCCCCCACAAAAAGGAAGACATTTTTAAAAATACGTATTTTATAGGTAAAGCGGAATTGCTTTGCTGTATATATGAAACTAACATACTAAACTGACTACACTTCCATAAAAAAGCAAAACTTAAAATACACTTATTTTTAAACAAATATTTTAGTAAGTATACTTGCTATAAATTTAAAATATTCCTAAGGACACACATGGATTTAGCATTAAAATGAGACCCTTGGCATGAAACAAACCTCGGAGTCTGTCACACTGAGTCCTGACAGAACACTGGAGAAGCTGCTTCACTTCAGGAAACAATGGCTTAGCACAACCTATTATTTGATAAAAGTTTCATAGTTAAGAAAACTAGTTGACTAAATTAGCAAAGTAGTAAGAAAAACACTGATGTAATAACAGCAAAAAACTTTAAATGTAGTTATGCAACTCCTCAGAAAAGCACAGAGAAGGATAAGGACATTTATTTCCCAACCCTCCGCATATGCCAGTCTTCTTTCCTACACACAACAACAATAAAAATGGTTGTAAGGACAGTTACCCACTTGCTGCTTCCTGGTCACTCTAAGGTGCTGGGGAACAATGATACCCAGACATGACCCCCTGTTCTCTGTCCCAGAACCTTCCCTCCCTGGCCTCTTGGTGTGCTCCGTCCCATCTTCCCTGG